TCCCTCTCACTCTCCCTCCTCTATCTGTTCTCTCTCTCTTGTATGGTGTTTTAATGTCTCTTACTCATATTCGAGGTAGGCATGCGCACATGTATACATTAGTTGCTTGGTTCAAATGCCCAAATAAGGAGATGAATGCTAGGACTACGAGGTAAAGGAGTTCGTGCTGAACTGTAAGGCAGGTTCAGCATCCTTCGCCCCAAAGTCTATTCCTAATATGTACATGTTTTTCTGTACATGTGGCCATTTTATACAAAACACATGTTCTTGGCCAAAGATCCTATATGTGTATGTCATTCTATCCTCATTGGTTAAGAGGGTGAAACTCCCCTCGACATATGCCTATATAATATCTGTATTTCTATGAATAAATTGAAGTATTGAGAATACATTGACTGTGTGTTTTCTTGCTTCCCGGCCGTTATACACTTTAAGGAACTGAGAATTCTTCAAGGCGGCAAAGAGATACGAGGGACAAATTGTTATTTATTAACAATTGGCTATGCAAGAAATTCCATGATGATAATTTCAAAGTGAAACATGCACTTAATTTCAAAGTGAAATTATAGCCATGGGAATAAGCATAGAACTGGTAATCTTCAGAGATACTTTTTTAGATTAGTGTTAGCCAGACTGTATGTGAATACCTCTGGCTCCACCAGTAAAAGTCCCAGTGGCCTAAAGTGTTATGGCATTATTCTTTGTGTTCAAGTCCCATCTGGATTGTTTTTGTTTTGTTTGGTTGGTGGGATGGCCAAAAAACAGGCCCAGTGGCGTAATGAGCTGATTTCTGAAAGCTCTATCAGTATATCACTATTGCCATGATAATGAAACATGAGAATTAGCATATAACTGGCAATTTTCTGAAAGAGCTATCAGTTTATCTTGCATCAGACTGTCTGTGAATGTCTCTTGTTTAACCGGAAGTGGGCCCAGTGGCCTAATGGATAAGGCATCAGCCTCCGGAGCTGGGGATTGTGGGTTCAAGTCCCACCTGGGTCATATTTGAGAGGTTTCATTTACATTGGCTTTGCTAGAAAATCCAGGCTGAAAAGTTCAAAATGACACTATAGCCATTAGTATAAGCATAGAAGTGTCCCAGTGGGCTAATGGGTTATGGTGTCAGCCTCTGTGTTCAAGTCGCACCTGGCCTGCTTTTGTTGTGTTACATTTAAGTTGGCTGCACAATAAATACTGGGATGATAAGTTTAAAGTGGCACAATAGACATGAGAACTAGCATAGAGTTAGAATTAGCATAGAGCATAGCATACCATAGAAACAGCATAGCATAGGTTCTGAAAGCCCTGAAAGTTTATCTCGCAGGTTAGGTTGACCAGGGAAAAAGGTGCTGTGTCATCAACCTTCGGAACTGGGGATTGAGAGTTCAAGTCCCATCTTGTTGTTTTTAAGAGTTTACATTTAAGTTGGCTATGAAAGAAATTCCAGGATGATAACTTCAAAGTGACACTATTGCCATGAGAATTAGCAAAGAAC